CGTCGKTGTTCCTCAAAGAAACAGTTRYGTAAAAWTATWAATTYAAMACCGTAAAAAAGTAGGTGAAACAACTTACTGACGTTTCGGACTTTAATCCTTCGTGGGAGTAAAGAGGATTGTCATTTTGAAACGCAGCTAACGTGGAATTTAGTTTCAACAATGCGCAACTATACAATATTCAGAATGTTTTCTGAAATAGCTGTTTTCATATTGTATTGATTGTATATATGATCAAATTTAACATGAACAAATGGAATAAATACGGGATTGAAATGGAAATGATAGATTGAAGATGGTACATCATATGCCTTAACAGAATTTCTCAGTACGTTTTTTATYACCAGGTGATTCGAGTGATTAGACACTCCATACACATCAGTGGTATTGGTGCTGTGGCGTTGGTCATCACTACGTATATCTTGTAAGTATATATAATAGGCAATGCACAGCGACGCCTTTTTGTGCAACAAAGCATGATATATGGGAGTCGTAGTTCAATGCACCGTTTCATGTCCTTCAAAACAGTCCTCGTAAGCCTTTTTCTCTCTAGAAACAGAAATGTTTTTTTTTTCTTTTCTAAAAAGAAAATATAAATTAAGGACATTTTTTAGGGACTATAATAAGCGGAAGGACTAGGGAGTCCTACAACTACCACCATGATTTAAATGAACAACATGGTTGTTCACTGCCATTAGAACTCTATGGTATCAGCCGTCGAAAACCAGTCTAAAAGTAACTTTGTATGAAATATAGTTAACACTTGAATCTTGCTTTCAGTTTAATGTCCGTGAAGATTCTAAACAGCATCATTTTTCTTGGGAAGGCATCTCAGTATGCCCAGGAATACCCGACAACTGACAACAAACCAACACAACAACACAGCCAACATACTACTACCCCTTCAAACACAACACACCAAATACCTGGACAATCATCAACAATTCCAGGAAATATTCCTGAAGAGAACAAGAAAGGCGAAAAGAAACCGACAAAGTCTCTTGCAGAGATTGATAGATATACACTCTGTAGCAAAGAAATAGTTCTGTTTTAAGAATAGTCAAATGGATGATGAAAATATGTGAATAAATGGAGCTACAACACCAACACATGGTGGTTGACTGACCCATGTAAGCTAAGTAAATAAATGGAGACAATAGCAGCCCATGATGGTTGGCTATGATCCCAAAGACGTTGTCCAGGAAAAAGTTTTAACTTTAAAGTAAAAATTATCTAAATTGTATAAATTAATTCATAGAATACACAAGGAAGAGTTCGACCTGACTGGTCATCTTTTTTACCCTGTGTTCCTTAAAATCACTAAATTTCAGGACATAATTTTGTAGTAAGGTTTAGAGTGAAGTCATTAAACCCGTGAAACAAAACGCGTGATAGTCAATTAAACAATGCAATTAGAGCGTACTAAGGTGCATTAGTGTAAGAGTATTTAGCGATAAATAAGGGATACAAGATGCTTTTAAATGATAAAATTTATTTGATATATAATAATATGTTTTGGAAATCACAGCTGTCATTCAATGTTTAACTAAGCGGGTGCTACTGTATTATATACAGTAAATGTTAGCTTGTCTCCTTTGCCTTGGCTGAACGTGCAAATTGCTGTGTATATTGTTAAGGATTATCATTCGTCAGTAATAGTGAGTGCTGACATCTTATACTGTACCGTTTTTGAAGGGAAAAATTAGTAGTAGTAGTGGGTAGTGTAGTAGTAGTA